TACCTTGCTTGTTTCGTAAGCATGATTAGATTTGGGTGATTGTACACCAACTTACCAAGTCAGCTCACTTCTTGCCAGTGAAAACTACATATTCAGCAGAGGATTATGCCAAGTTGTATATCTAGGAAATCGTCTGATTGCAGGGGACTCATTTGTCCATTATCTCAGATCATGGTGCGCAGTTCACAGCGAACTTTTGGAAATCCTTTCAGAAAGGATTAGGCACAAGGGTGAACGGGCACAACTTTTCATCCTCAGACAGATAGCCAGGCAGAGCGTACGATTCAAACTCTTTAGGATATTTTGAGGGCCTGTATTATCGATTTTAAAGGTAATTGGGATGATCATATACCCCTCAATGAGTTTGCTTATAATAACAGCTACCACTCCAGTATCAAGATGGAGGCGTATGAAGCTCTGTATGGGCGAAGGTGTAGATCGTCAATTGGTTGGTTTGAAATTGGCAAAGTAGAGTTGTTGGGGCCCAATTTGGTCTATTAGGCTATGGAGAAAGTCAAGTTGATTCAAAAGCATTTGAAGACGACTCAGAGTCACCAAAAGTCCTATTTAGACATACGGTGTAGAGACTTAGAGTTCTAAGTTGATGATTAGGTATTTATGAAAGTTTCGCCTATAAAAGGCATTATGAGATTTAGGAAGAAGGGGAAGCTTAGTCCCCGCTATATTGGGCCATACAGAATCCTGCGAAGGATCGGGCAAGTGGCTTATGAGTTAGAATTGCCACAAGAATTAGTTGTTGTAGACCTAGTATTTTATGTGTCTATGTTGAAGAAATTCATGGAAGACCCATCTATTGTGGTTCCTACAGATATTATGGGGGTTAAAGATAGCCTGACTTATGAAGAAATTCCAATGGCTATTCTTCATCGTCAAATTCCGTAAGCTCAGAACTAAGGAAATCGCTTCAATGAAAGTGCTTTATAGGAATCAGAAGGTTGAAGAGACTACGTGGGAAGCTGAAGAGGACATGAAGTCCAGATATCCCTATCTCTTTGAAGAGCAAGAGAAAAATATAGAAGGTAACTAACCTTTTCATTTAGACCTTATAGTATAATCTCTATGTCTTTCGGTATTCAGTCAGCTTAATATTCAATCAGTTTAGTAGTCATTCAGTTCAGTACCTATTCAATTCAGTATCTCAGTAGTTCAGTAATCATGTATTGATTAAGTTTAGTATGCATGTGTTCATGATAGTTCAGTGTTCACATGTTTCCATCAGCCCCGTTTAAGGTACAGAGTTAGCCATAGATATAGTTAGGACAATCATTCGAGGACGAATGATCCTAAGGGGGAGATAATGTAAGGTTTAGGTGTGGATGCGTTAAATGAGTATTAATGTGACAATTTAGACATGTGAAGTCCTATCGGGATGAGTATGGGTGGAAATAGTTGTTTTGGAATCAAAATGGAGAGTGAGGTGCATAAGATTCGATAAAATCGACTAAGTTTATGGAAGGTCTGTCTTCCATCCTGATTTTGTGAAAATATGTTAAGCATTTGAGAAAACATAAAACATGAAAGTTGTAGCTCTTTGAAATACCTTTACAATATAATATGGAGTTATAAAGGATCTTTGTGCAAAGAGTTATGTACATTTTACCGGACAATGCGCAATCTGCACGCTCAGCCATAACGTGTGTGGAAGAGCACTTGTGGAAGTGCCACTTCCCTTGATGCGCGTTCAGATGCGCGGTTGGGCCTTTAGCTGCGTGGAGGAGCACCTGGAAGGTCATTTTAAAATCCCTACCTCGTTTCCACACCCCCAAACACACAAAAATTTGCTCTAGAAATGGAAGCTTTCAAGAACCTAACTTCCTCCAAGGTCCCTCCATAATCAAAGGTAAATTCTAATGATGATTCTAAGTTAATTTCAATTCTCCGGCACCTTACTAACATGGGTAAACCCTCAAATTATTAGATATTCGATTGAGACATCATTGTTGAGAAAAGAAATCCTAGAACTCGAATTAAAGAGGATTGAACTTCAAAAATGTAATACTTCTACTCCTTAATCATCTATAGTTGTGAACTGATGAGTTCTTGGGAGAATAGTAAATGAGTTTGATAATGAGAATCATATGAACTATGCTAGGGTTTTGGGTTATTGAATTAAGATTATTATAATCATTTGGGTGATGAGAAATGGTGTTAGTTACATCTATTTGAGATTGTAGAATCATCTAGAAATAGTCGAATGGGAATTTGGCGAAGAAAACACCATTAATGAGGGCTGGTGAAGCTTTACGCCTATAAGGTATTTGATAAAATTCCTAAGTAACTAAAATATGAGCATTAGTGTTAATATTGGTTCCTCTTGATATACTCCCTCCGTTTCTAATTAAATGACATATTTCGCTTATCGTGAGTCAAACTATAAAAAGTATGACCAATATTTAAAAATATATTTTTTTATCATAATAACAAAAATTGCAACTCATAGTATTTCACATATAGTTTTTGATTATATAAATTTTAATTTTAAAATATTCAGTTGAACTAATCCAACGTAGCTTCAAAGTTTAGTCAAATTGACTTTCGATAAGCGAAATGTGTCATCTAAATTGAAACATAAGGAATATATTGCTATAGATTACCGTTGAAAGAGGTGACGAACATTGTGACATGCTTAAAATGTCCAGAGTCAAGATATGTGAGGCTAACTCTTTACGTTTGGGAATGTTTATGATTCTCCATACATCTCATTCTTTATGACTATTACGAATTGCCTCAGAAAGTAACTATGTCTCAGTTCCATGAATAGTTATAGAACTTCTATTCTCTAAATGACAATTTTATAATTCGTTCAATATCCCATGAGTCTCAGTTATGAAAAATCAATTTATTAGGAATACATGTCTCAGTCTAGTTCTATTCAGCATTTCAGTATCATGTAACTCAGTATGATTCAGTATTCAGCATCATGTATTGCAGTATGATTCTCAGTCCGCAGTTTATGCTTTATGCATCTTTGGACCTGAGGCTGCAGTTATGTATACGTATACTTGGGCCCGAGGCCGCCGTTTGTGCACATCTATATCGGGCCTGAGGCCGCAGATTATTTACTCAGATAAACAGGTTGTTTCTCATTTAGAATAGGGAGTATTTATATCTTTACTTCATTGTTCAGTCCAGTTATCAGATATCAGTTATTAGTTCAGTTTCAGTTTCAGTATTTACAGCTCTTTTTGTTGTTTTATATAGCAGTGCAATTCAAATATACTGACATCCTTTTTTTCCCGGGAACTGCATCTCACGATGCAGGTAACGATTTACAGGTTGACGATTCAGCTTGCTAGGACATCTCGTATCAGCTATTGGTAAGCCCCAATCTTTCGGGGCATTATCCCTCTTTTTCAATCTTTATAGTATTTTAGTTAGTAAGGTATGCCAGGCGACCTTGTCCCACTAAACAGTTAGCATTTCAATATTCTTTAGACGCTTCGTAGACTATAGTGCAATCAGTCAGCTGTAAGCAGGCATTTATGTGTTAGCCTTGTCGGCTACTCGTTTATTCTTGCAGATATTATATTACTTTTATGATATTTCAGTCAGACGCTTTAGAATATCGACATGTTGCATGTTTATATTCAACTAACAATTATACCACATGTTGATCCAGCCATACAGTTGGTTCGCTCGGTCACATGCAGTCAGGCACCGAGTGTCGTGTTATGCCCAGGCCATGGTTCGGGACGTGACACCATCTTTGTAGAGGAGAGCCCCATTAATGAAGAACCACATAACTGAGGAGGGCAAATAAATCTCATCGGGGTAGAGATACCTTGTTGGTACATAGTGCTTGATGAGCGCATGGATCTGCTCGAGATTGGGCATTGCATGTAGGGAAGAGTCAAGATTTTTCAAGCATGCAATATTATCGAGTTCATCTCAGGAACTGATGGTTGTACTGCAGAAGAATGTAAGATGCTTTACTTGCCATCTTGTTATTTCTTGATATTTAACTGCACAGGTTATTTGTAGGTGTCTTGTCTTAGCCTCGTCACTACCTCGTTGGGGTTAGGCTCGACACTTACAGAGTATATTGGATCGGTTGTACTCATACTACACTTCTTCACTTCTTGTGCACATTCAGATAATGGTACCGGCGGAGTCCCAAGAGGTGCTTAGCGGATACCAGATAGACGGCTTAATGTAGAGTTGCGTATCGTTCGCAGGACTTAGAGTTATCTTCCATTTTATTGTACTGTTTTTACTTTCCATACAGTATTGTATTTCTTTCAAGACAATGTATTTATTAAACTCTAGCAGCTCATGTACTTGTGACTCAACGTCTTGGGATGGTTGAACGTTAGAGTTGATCTTAGACTTATCATGTATACTTCCGAGTCATATTTCATTATGTTATAATTTTATTGTTGATTGGTAGTTTCATTTCTCTCAGATTTTTTATTATTATAATTTTATTGTTGATTGGTAGTTTCATTTCTCTCAGATTTTTTATTATGTATTGGCTTGCCTAGCAAGCGGTGTTAGGCGCCATCATGATCTCGCGGGTTGAAAATTTGGGTCGTGACATCTTTTAGCTTTGCTTTTTACAGTTTTTATTAGCTTTTCCTTTCTAGAGAGAAAAAATAATCGCATAACTCATAATGCCTGATATAAATTGCTCTGAAGGACGATGCTAAAGGGCGACGGACAGAAGTGGCACTATAAGGAGCGTCTTTAAATATTGTCTTTATTTTTAAATGAATCCAGAAAATGAACCCAGGCCCCCACACATTTATTCTTGTTAGGGATTTTCTACCAAAATGATATTTATGCTATATTTACTCCACCTATATTATTAATTGTTCACAAATTCTACCCGATTGGTATTACTTTGTGATTGTTCAATGATTTACCAAACTCTACCATATCGGCAGACTTTGTGTTATTTGCATTCAACCTATTTGTTAGATTGTTCAAAAACTCTACTCAGTTGACATGATTTTATACTTCTTCAATTCTTCACCAAACTCTAACTAAAAATTTAAATCGAATCCTCATTCATAGACAACAAAAATTCCATTTCAAATCCGTTATCAGAAAAATCCTTGTTCTCCCCTTCTACCTACACTTCTCTTGAAAAAAAGAAATGAGAGAAAAGAAAACCTTCCGCATACTGTTTTTTTCAACAGTCTATAATCTGAAAGCCACTGCTATTTGTTCCAGAGAATGGTAAATGAATAATCAGTTTACTTAGGATCTCGACGCTGAACAATTGCACTGAATGTGAATGGCTCACCAGGTTCAAATATTGCTTCAAGATCTTCAAAACTTTGCTCAATTTGTAAATCTTTCAAAACTGTTAGACCATCCTGCAATTGGTTTGCAAAAGCATAAAGGCAAAGCAAGTCACATTCAAGAAACAAACTTTTGCCTCTTTTTAGAAAACTACACATTCAGGCAACATGTTGAAAGCAAAGAGAGTGAGACAATCAGAAGATACTTCATACATATAGTTTGACTCAGCAAAGAAAATGAACATGGTGAATGATGTATCTTGTTTGCCTTTCAGCCTAATTCCTGATAAATCCCAACCTCTCCTCTTCTACCCCAAGTCTTAATTCCATCCCCATGAAAATAAATAAATACCTACTACTATTTTCTGAACTATAAATAGAGTCAACTTTGACCTCTATAACTCAGCTAGGAGCTACAGCGAGGGCCATAACAAAGTTGTGTTTCTTCCAACACATGCATATTAATGTTTATTTGGCCTGGGTCTTCTCTTCCCCCACCCCCTCTTCTTGTTGCTGTTTCCCTTCTCTCTCTTGTGTGTGTATGAAGGGGGTGAGGGGAGCATCAACCGCCTAAAATAGATCATTAAAAGGATTGTAAATTGTTCCTTGATTTCTTGATAAGTCATTTTTAGATCAGTAAAAGGATTTGTATTGATAATAAAACAGGAGGCACCATGGAGGTGAAAGGACAAACTATACAGATAAGCAAAAAGGTCACATGCAAGAGAACAGACGGTGCAATAGAATCTACAGAGATCTATAGACTACAGCAATAAAATCTATGTCGAATAAAAAAAATCAATGAATTGTACAAGTTCTCAACTTTTAACCAAAAAATAAGCTGCTGAGGCATTGAAGCTTCAGTTGATGCATCGGTTCCGACAAGTCGTCAAAATGGGTTTTCATTTCTCGTAACTCATGGTTTGCACAATTTACATTCTTTCAATATTAGACAAGTAAATGCGGATCGACCGAAAAGTTATTTGTGCACGAAGTCGATAAAAGAGGTAGGTTAAGCACATTAGATTGTAGCTGCAACAAAAAGCATTACCTTTACTATCAAGGTATCCTTATTAGAAGCTCTCAATAACTATTTGCATACGAACATATATATTTACTAGTCATTGAGTAATCACACTCTAATCATGATGGAACCCGTTAAAAATCACAAATACTGAACAAGAGCTTTCTAGATGTTCTAAGCTCAGAAAAGGTGAGATGGAACTAAATTAGCAAATGCCTTGAGAACTGACTCCAGTAGTAAATTCCTCATACAGTTCTGTAAATTCAAGAAATGAGAATCAAAAAATATTTTAAGATGTTTAGAATTCTAAATGTACTTCTAGCCATTCCCTTGAAGAACCTTTTGAATAATATTTTGAGGTGCGCTGTAAAAATCTTGAGAGGACTGCAATAGTTAAATAAGTTTGACGTGGTCATTCAAATATTTGACATGTTATTTAGAAGCTAGAAACGGTAAAGAATGAAGGGGAGCCTTGGCGTAACTGGTAAAGTTGCTGCCATGTGACCAGGAGGTCACGGGTTCAAGCCGTGGAAACAGCCTCTTGCAGAAATACAGGGTAAGGCTGCGTACAATAGACCCTTGTGGTCCGGCCCTTCCCCGGACCCCGCGCATAGCGGGAGCTTAGTGCACCGGGCTTCCCTAAACGATAAAGAATCAGCTATGTTTAGAATTCAAAATTTGAAGCTAAGTATTAATTATATCTGTCAACATGGGAGGATAACTGATTGTAACCACCATAACATGTTTAATTGCACCCATAGCATTGCTAATTCTGTATCTATCCAAGTCTTTGAGATATAAAAGAAGGGTGTGAGTATGAAGAGACAAAATGACTGAGATGCATGGGGGGGTTCTACCTTTTTTACATATTCGCTGATGGTAGAGTTGATTATTTTCTTGATAACTTGCTTGTAAACTTTTGAGTATCCAAGAATCTCAATAAGAATATCTCTTGGTATCTGTCAAGACATGGAAAATACGCATAAATATAGTACGTCTGGCCTGAGAACCATAATCGATTCATAAGACAAGCCAGATACAGTAGTCTCCACTCAGTATCTTTTTCTTTTTCTCCGTAAAAAAAAAATTATAACTGACAAAAAAATTGTACTATAAGAAGTGTTAGAGATAGCTATGTAAATGTTGNACTTTTGAGTATCCAAGAATCTCAATAAGAATATCTCTTGGTATCTGTCAAGACATGGAAAATAAGTATAAATATAGTACGTCTGGCCTGAGAAACATAATCGATTCATAAGACAAGCCAGATACAGTAGTCTTTACTCCGTATCTTTTTTTTTTCTCGGCAAAAAAATTTATAACTGAAAAAAAGAATTGTACTATAAGACGTTTTTTTTTTTTTAAGACTGAGAAATCTGTCTGGGGCTGACTGTTAGGAGCGACTGCGGCCTTCAAAACTCGGAAAAATAGAGAGAAAATGGACAATGAATTTCTGTTCAAACTCCTATCAGATCAAGTCCTGGGATCATGCTTAATATATTTTTCCATCCATGTTATTCATAAATGTAGAACAATAGGAAAACAGATAAAGGACTAAGGAAACTTACATTGGGAGTTTTTCCTGACAGATTCCAAGTTGTTCAAACGAGATGCAGATGAGCAATGCAAAAAATCAGTTAGTAGGTCACCAGTTCTAAAAACTGCAGACATAAAAACGTACTAACGGAAGCCAATTAAAAGCATCTTTAAGTAACCAAATTATCAGGGAAGAGAATCTACGACTGCTCGTACCTTGATGGCTTTTGAAATTAATGTAACTTAAATAGAAATTTATTCAATGCTTTACCTCCTTTTACTCTTCGAAACCCTGGAATAGGTTGAGCATCTTCAACCATTCTTGAAAACACCTTGCCAAAGATCTCTTGAGTTTTGGCGCCCAAGACATTAACACTTATCTGCAAAAGAACCATAAGTCCAAGTGTTAAAAAGCTTAAGAACATAGTAAGGATGATTTACACCTTCCCTTCATGGTTTCCCTTTATGGTTGCCTTACTGAGGTAGAACAAATTCCTTATGAATAGTGTCGTTTGCATTAAAATAATTCTAATTAGAGGACACTTTCAAATTATTGATAAACTTTTACAAGCTTTCTCATCTGCACAGACTACTGTCTCTATCCATATCATGGATGAATAGACCAAGTAATCAAATTAACAACTTTTCCATGAACTTCTCATACTCTTACCTTTAATTCATTAGAACCATTGACACCGCTTGTGGTAACAGAAAAATCTTTAAATTCAGAAGTAGAAACTTCAGCATCTCCAATTCCTAATTAAGAAAGAAGGAGAAAAAGTTAGCCATGCCGCTGTCAGAATCTTTGAAGGGAGTTGACTTGCATTTGCACCTAATGATACAGCATAGCAGCGTCCAGTTCTTGCCCTGCAGAAAGAGGGAAGCATGGGTGAGCAAAGCAACCGAGCAATATGATTACACCCTTATAAAGAGGGTATGTTTTCTTAGACTGTTATTTTACTTGATTACTTGGTTCTTATCTGGCTGATATGGTCGTGGTGAAGTGTAAGCCCATCGAAACTAATTGGAGGTGTCTATAGCAAGTGCCGCTTTTCATGACCAAGTCATAGTATAGGAGGGCATAGTGTAACTTGGAATAAAAGTTAGAATTCCATTCCGGGGAAGTTGCACTAAGATATAGCACAATCAATTTTTGAGAAAAATAAATTGTTTCTTGAACTGCTGCAGCTTCCCTTGTACCATTAACCATGCAATAACCATGGAAGTCACACAGCATACTAAGAAGCTATGAAACACATTTATCTTTACATCAGTGGAAGCATGCAAAAAGAAAATATTACTAATCACTTAAATACCTTTCAGGAAGTCGTCCCAAACCACATCCGGTCCAAAGAGGAACACATTTTCTTCCAAACAATTTGCTTGGAAGCAAGAAATGAACATGATGCATTAGAGGCACAACCTGCACTATAAAACATATTTCTCAGTGATTGCAGAATAGACGGATATTGAGTAGGAAAACAGGCACCAAAAATACAGCATAGCTAAGAAGGAAAACACCAATCAAATATAAGAAAAAGTAGGAAGCTGAAACACTTGGGTGCACAATGGGGTGGCAATTTAGCAAGATGAAGTATACTAAGCAATATTTGTCTCCGATCGTTCTATTCATATAAATCTAACTTCTGCCTAATTAAATTTGCATAATTTAATGTAATGCACGTACCTTTCGTAGTTTATGCAAAACACGTAAATCATGCATGTGTCTAATACCAACGAGAATGTATTTTATTATACGATGAAGTAAGATAATATCCTAAACAACTTTCCTTGACAAAACCTTAATCGACTAGACTCAATCAAGAACCCCAGCTAACCAAGCAATGGATTATGATGTGCCCAAAACAAGATCAAACAGACAGACATGACCTTTGCTGAAACGCCATTTGTTGAAATGACAAAAGGAAAAATGAGGAAACAAAAGAAAAGAAGCATTCACATTTTATAATTTGATGCTAGAGACAGACAGACGGTGCGCCTATTTCTATAATATCACATCGAGGTGCACAGTTCACTGCTGAGTTTTGGAAGTCTTTTCAGAAGCCATTGGGTTCACAAGTTGAGTTGAGTACAGCTTTTCATCCGCAAACTGACGGACAATCCGAATGGGTTATCCAGATCTTGGAGGACATGCTTAGAGCTTGTGTGATTGATTTTGGTGGTCATTGGGACGATCAATTGTTGGCAGTGTTCGCTTATAATAATAGCTACCAGTCAAGTATATAGATGGCACCTCTTGAAGCTCGATATGATCGCAAGTGTCGTTCACCAGTTGGATTGTTTGGATCTAGTGAAGCACAGCTATTGGGTCGGGATTTGGTTCAACAAGTTTTGGAGAAAGTAGCATTGATACGAGAACAGCTTTGGACAGCACATAGCAAACAAAAATCCTATGCAGATAAGAAAGTACATGATATCAAATTCATGAAGGGAGAAAAAGTCTGTGTGAAGGTTTCCCCTATGAAAAGAGTCATGAGATTTGGCCGGAAAGGTAAGCTAAGTCCTAGGTATATTGGCTCTTATGAGATTTTGGATCGAATTGGGTTGGTGGCGTATAGACTTGTTTTGCCTGCGAGACTGTCCGCGGTTCATCCTGTGTTCCACTTATCTATACTTACACGATATATTCGTGATGATAACCATAAGATTCAGCCCGAGGATATGGAGCTTGATGAGAACTTAACTTATGGAGAATGTCTAATAGCTATTCTTGATAGGCAAGTGCGATAATTGAGGTTGAAGAAGTTGCTTCAGTGAAAGTGATGTACCGCAACCATGCAATAGAGGAAGCTACGTGGGAGTCCGAATCACACATTCCGATCAAGTATCCGCAGTTGTTTGAGATATCAGGTACACTTTCTAAATCGTTCGAGGACGAACACTGGGACTATAGAGCCTAATTAAAAAGAATCCGGACTTGCTTTTTCAATTCACATCTATGAGTGAGGATTCCTCTATCTCTTGCTAAGGGCAATAGCCCGAAATATTTTTATATACTTATTAATTGTGAGATTAGAGCCTTAATTTTTATTTATAGCTATTGGGTCAAATATTAAGCTATTGAAAGAAAATTTATTATAATATAAAAGATAGTGTAGTATATTAAATAAGTGGCTAGTGGACCAATTGCACATTACAAATTAAGAATTTGAAGTAAGTGACTTTGGTTAATTTTATAAGGATGTAAAGTGGGCCAGAACCACCATTTACCAGTTGGTCACGTGAGATGACCTAGGTGTAGTGGTTTTAATTGGTGTCCTTAGTTTAGTAGGGAAAAGAATTCAAATATAGGGGTTTCGGAATAGTGACGACACAGCAGCTGTAGGAGAACAAGTAGGGTTGATTATTTAATTTTCACGGTGGCTTGGATATTTGACAAGGTTAAGGTGTATAGCTTTGACTTCCCAGTAGCTAAACGAAATAGGCATTGTCAATTAAATTGAAATTTCAGAAGCCTAGCAAACAGGTATCTACCTAATCCTATTCTACGTGATTATTATATTGAATTAAAGTTGTGATTATTATTGATATCTTATAATAATTAGGCTAATGATTGGGGGCAAATGATTTGGCAATGATGAGTGAATTAGTGGAATTAGACATAAAATAGTGGATTTTGAAAGCTGCTATGGAAAACTATTTTACTGTTGCAGTTTCGGTTTCTACCACTTTTTAATTAGGAGACATAATGATTAACTAATAATTAAGTAATAATGAGAGGGCTATATGATTATAGTAATGATTAGTGAATGTAGGGGTTACTTCCCAGTCATGATGGGGTTACACCAGGGATCAGCTCTTAGCCCGTTCTTATTTGCCTTGGCGATGGATGTATTGACACGGCATATTCAGAGGGAGTTGCACTGTTGCAGTGGTGCATGTTATTTGCAGATGATACTACTGACTGACGAGACACGGGGCCGAGTTAATACTAGGCTGGAGGATTGGAGACAGACTATGGAATATAAAGGTTTCAAGTTGAGCAGGACTAAAACTGAGTACATGGAGTGTAAGTTCAGTGGGGTAACTCATGAGGATCGCGGGGAGGGAGGGCTTGATTCTCAAGTCATCCCCAAGCAGGAAAGTTTCAATTACCTTGGGTCTGCAATCCAAAGGGACATGGAGAGGTATTCAAAGTGGCGGGTTGAGGATCTTACTAGGTTATATTTACGTATAACTCACTCCTTACTAACATGCCCTTGCACATACTGTTGCTAAGGAAAAGGCTAGTGGGTGACTAGTTCGTTGAGTAGATTTTGTCGCTGAGGCGAGCCGCCACATTGTTCGTGGAGGCCATTATTTCAGCTCTACCTATTTTATGTCTTTTATTTCTTTCGGGGTTTGGATTAGAGTGAAATTTGGATTAAAGATTCATTATTTGATTGATGCTTGAATCCTATGATTTAACCACAGATTTGTTTGGATAATTTATCCCCACTTAATACATTTATTCATGTGTTTAGTTCGCACTTATTTACTCGCAGTGTCTATATAAATTTGTTGAGAGTATGAGAATTTGGTTCGCCTGGCGGGTGGTGTTAGTTGGGTATCAGTCACGTTTAGGGGGTACTTTGGGACATGACACTAGTTGTTAAAATAACATCTCACTAGGAAACTCAATAAGTAGAAGATACACAGTGAGAATATAGAAAGATAAATAGGCATAAAGGCTGATGTGCTAATATTTGCAATTAAGGGGAAACCAAAAAAAAAATTGCATTATTGCTTCTCCCTTTGGCAGCCAGACTTTGATGGGAAGTTCACACAGGTTGCAATGAACTTAATGACAGCATATTTCGAGGTATATGACATATAACAGTTCTTTATTTCAGATTTCAGTACAATTCAAATTGATCTAGATAATTGAAAGAATTTGTAACTCCTAAGAAAATTCTTTTTAAAAGAAGAAAGAAAAGAAAAGAAAAGAAAGCTGCAAAGAAAATAATTTTATCTAGTTGCAATTCTGAATGTGAAAAGGCTGAAACATTTGTGAGCAAGCAGCTTAGCAATCAGTAGTAAGTTTGATTGTGCTCTTCAATTTTCCATCTTTAATGACAATTCAGCCTAATTCCGCATGTATACAAGATTACAAGTATGAAAGGTTACAAGACAGTCATTTATCAGTTCAGACTATCATCCAGGGTAAGGCCATTACTTCTGCTGCTAGCAAAAGTAGGTTGGAATAATGACAGACTTTGTAGTAGACGTGTGCATACATTTTTCTTTACAATTGGAAGAATAAGTACCCATTTTGAAGTTAACAATTACACTCTAAGCCTCTATTGTTCTCACTTATCTGCTTCCCACACGTGCACATAATTAAGTATAGAATTGCTAAGCAGAACAGACTAAATATAGAAGTCCAGCTGTCCAGGTTCCTTGCTCCACAAGCCATATGTGGTGGCAAGGTTGGCGAGTGATCAAGACTGTAACAGCTTATATAAATTTAGTTTAACTCTTTTGATTGGTGTCAAATAAGCGATACAAAAAGTTGTTTGGCATGAGCTTAGTCCGGGACGGCTTTAAGAGAAGATGCTATAAAGTAAATAATTCCTTGGAACCCCAAAGCTAGCTTCATAATGCATATGGTAAGTAGAACTATTTTACCTGATTATGACCCATTGCGGGAACAGCAGCACAGATCACTTTTGCACTAACTACAATATGATCAGAAGGCAAGCCAGCGTGCCCATCTGTTTAAGAGAAAGAGCAGTCCATTTTGAAAAGAAAACAAATAAAACAACTATGTGACAATAAGATTAGACAAGATGATTTTCCACAATAGGAGTGTTTCAACAGAAATTGTGAATTTTTTCAATGAGACAAGTAGGAACTTCAACCCCTTCTTCAACCAATACATAAAATAAAATTTTGCAGCAGAAACCCGTAGTAGAGTCCAAATGCATTTCCAATGCAATTAAACTTCGGAGCGTAATTAACTGCAGGTAGTCTGGAGTTTGACACATTTAGACCTCCCCGTCTGTCTTTGTTCTAGTCATTATTTTTTCTTAATTTTTAATTAACAAGCTTAGCATTCACATTTTTTCCGACTTATCCAATTCAAAAACCCATTTTTCTATTTAAATTAATGAACAAACATGTAAATTTCCATGTTAACATAGGGCCCTCTTATCTCTTCCTTCTCCGAGCTCTGGTTATGGAAGAAGGTAACAACTATTGTCATATAGCATAACTAGGCCATAAATTCCTCTCTAGATGTCACTCAGCGTAAAATCGGCTATTGGGACTAATTGTTCTCATACAATGATGAACTGTTTATCACGCCTCCAAAATCCCATCAATAAAGTGTAAAATGAAAATAATAAGGCAACTATTTCACAAGAAGTTGTCCGAAAAATTCAACATTATAAACCAATCCAGGAAAATACTCATGACATCAAGTCTCGCAGAAGAGCAATCCCCCAATTTATAAAATTCTATTCTTAACCAAACCCAAAACACCATTGAGAGTTCGGCACAACACATTATAGTATACAGATGAAGAAGACATTAAATTATGAAAAGAGGGGGGAGAGAGAGTAAAGAGTACCTCCTCCAAAGCTTCGCGAACAAACAGCGGGAAGCTCCATTCACCGCCAAAGAAACAATTTACACTAGAGCTTTTCTAATAAGATAAGATTTTTTCTGAACACGGAATTGAGAAGAAAACTCGTTTGGTACCCGCCCGACCAAGGGCATTCTTAGAATTTTGATGTGCAAGTGCTTACGTGTGTGTTTGGGTTATGCTGAAATTAGTAATACATCCATTCTAATACATAAATGTTATAAAATAAATATCGTAAAGTAAAGACAAGTATACATAGAAACTGATATATTATTCAAACTTCAAACTTATGTACATAATGAACTGAAAACTACTCTATTTATAGAAGAAAGGAAGTTGTTGTGTAAGCTGCTACTGCAAGTTGCTGTGTAAGCTGCTTGTAAGTTGCTTGTAAGCTGGTACTGTACCAGATATAGATAATTTTCTACCGAGGGTAATATTTATCCATAACGGAGTACCAAAATGATAAGCTTCTTCAGGAGGCTTATTTTCAATAGAGTACTAAATAGATAAACATATTTACGGCGGAGTCTTATATGGATAAACTTATTCAGGAAGCTTATTTACAACGGAGTACTAAATGAATATCCATAATATAATATATTTATAATACTCTCCCTTGGATGTTCATTAACAGATAATGTGCCTCGTTAAAACCTTACTAGAAAAATTTCCGTGGGAAAAAAATCTTAGTGAAAGAAAAAGAGTACACATATTTAGTAATATGCATTGCTAGCTGCCTCGTTAAAAACCTTATAAGGAAAACCTTGTGGGAAAAAATCTTAGTAAGGAAAAAAAGAGTGTATCGCGTATTTTACTCCCCCTCATGAAAACCTTGTTTCAAATATTTGAGTCTCCGCATTCCAATCTTGTATACCATCTTCTCAAAAGTTTAAGTTGACAAAGATTTAGTGAATAAATCTGTTGGATTGTCACTTGAACGGATTTGTTGCACATCAATGACATCATTTTTCTGAAGATCGTGTGTGTAGAATAATTTTGGTGCAATGTGCTTCGTTCTATCTCCTTTTATAAATCCTCCATTCAATTGGGTTATGCATGCAACATTATCTTCGTATAAAATTGTGGATCTTTTATCACATTTCAAACCATATTTTTTTTGAATAAAATGAATCACTGATCTCAGCCATACGCATTCCCTGCTTGCTTCATGAATAGTTATTATCTCAGCATGATTTGAAGAAGTAGCAACAATAGATTGCTTTGTGGAGCGCCATGATATGACAGTACCTCCATATGTAAACACGTACCCGGTCTGAGATCGAGCTTTATGGAGATCAGATAAATAACCGGCATCTGCATAACCAATAAGATCTGCACTACTTTTATTAGCATAAAACAAACCCATATCAAGAGTTCCCTTTAAATATCGCAAAATATGCTTAATCTCATTCCAATGTCTCTTTATAGGAGAAGAGCTATATTTTGCTAGTAAATTAACATAAAAAGCTATGTCAGGCCTTGTAGCATTAGCAAGATACATAAGTGCACCAATTGCACTGAGATATGGTGTTTCAGGACCAAGGAGTTCTTCTTCCTCTTCTAGAGGTCGGAACGGGTCCTTATTCACTTCAAGTGATCGAACAACCATTGGTGTACTCAATGGGTGCGCTTTGTCCATGTAAAAGCATTTTAAGACCCTTTCTGTATAGGCAGATTGATGGATAAAGATCCTGTCTGCTAAATGTTCAATTTGCAGACCAAGACAAAGTTTTATCTTTACAAGATCTTTCATCTCAAATTCTTTCTTAAGATATTCAATTGCCCTTTGGAGCTCTTCTAGAGTTCCAACAAGATTTATGTCATCAACATAAATAGCAAGTATAATAAATTCGGATGCAATTTTCTTTATAAAAATACATGGACAAATAACATCATTTATGTAACCCTCTTTCAGCAAATATTCACTGAGGTGATTATACCACATGCGCCCAGATTGCTTTAAACCGTACAAAGATCTTTGTAATCCGATTGAGTATATTTTCCGAGATTTTGAATATGCTTCAGGCATTTTAAATCCTTCAGGGATTTTTATGTAAATTTCATTATCAAGTGACCCATACAGATAAGTTGTAATCACATTTATTAGATGTATTTCAAGCATTCCACGTAAGGCTAAACTGATGAGATATCGAAATGTTATGGCATCCATAACAGGTGAATATGTTTCTTCATAATCGACTCCAGGTCGTTGTGAGAATCTTTGTGCGACAAGGCAAGCCTTGTGTCTTTCAACTTCATTTTTGTTATTCCTTTTTCGCACAAAAACCCATTTATGACCAACTGATTTTATACCAGCAGGTGTTTTGACTACTGGTCCAAAAACCTCTCTTTTAGCAAGTGCGTCCAATTCTGATTGAATTGTCCCTTGCCATTTTGGCCAATCAGATCTTTGTCGACATGCTTCGACAGATCGGAGTTCAAAATCCTCACTATCTTCCATAATGTTAAGTGCAACATTATATGCAAAAATATTATCCACCACTATTTCAGATCGATTTAAATTAATCCTATCACCAGTAGAACTTATTAAAAGTTCCTCGCTCACTTGAGTCTTGGGTTCATTGATTTCTTCAGGAATCTCATAACTAATTAGATCTTGAGTCTCTTCAGGAGATCCCTTCATAGTATCGTTATCATTTGTCAATTTTTTTTCGAGGATTTCGATCCTTAGAACCCAAAGGCCTACCACGCTTCAGGCGTACTTTAGGCTCACTAGCTCTCATGCTAGTAGATGGTCCTGCTAGGACATCAATTCGGATAGGCACATTCTCTGCAGGGATATGCGACTTAGTTATCCTATTCAAATAAGTAAATGCGTCTGCATTTGATTTGCTATATTTTGTAAATGGATGATCTTCCGGACCTCCTGATTATATATAGGGGTACGTGGATCAAAATGAGATAACGATGAAACTTTCCACATAATTTCTCTTTTGATTTCCTTTATCTC